ACTTGTTTCTTTATTCTTTATGGCCTTCAAGTGTCAGTAAGTTCTTGCTGAATGAATTTGGCCTTCCCTTTGATTCCATTCCCTGTTCAGGTGAAGACTTCACAACATTTCTGCAGCTTAGTTTCCCTTCAGATAAGCATAGCAGAAAAACCAAATGAAACAGAAAACAGAGACCATCCAAATGGACAAAATTCTAAAACCAGGAAAGACAGCTTACAAAATGGTACACCTGCTGACTTGCCTGTCTGATATCCAGAGAAATTAACATTTTTTCCTTTTTCAGTTTAGATGGTAAATCCTCCAAGGTCAGTCTCCAATATTTAATACATATTAAACTCCAGAGATAAAAGCAGAAAAAAAACCAAACCTCTACTTAAGTCTTTGTCATCACCGATTTTTGATTCCACCTGATCAAATAAATGAGATTTGGGGGATTTTTTTATAAGACAGCAGCATCCAAGAGTCTGGTAAATAGAACATGACTAATGAAGCAATCAGATTCTGTTGTGAAAAACCCTGTAGTTTGCCAAGACTGATACAGGCAAACCTCCCATATTTCTTTGGGGACCCAACCAAGTCCACTACAGACCTGTAAAAAAGTAAAACTTGTCACAGGACTACCACTGCTACTCTACATCAGCTTTCTACTCAGGTCCCATGCTATCCTAGATCTAGACATGCTTTATTTTGCAGATTGCAACCTGTTTTTTTATGATCTAATATTTATAGCATAAAGCAACAAGACACCACAAGCTCTATAATTTCATTGACAGACTAGATTTGAAATGTGCTGGGAAAAGAACCCTGCCTCCAATAGAATGATGAGTCCTAATGATTGCATTACCAAAACTGTACTTACATTCATGTAATCATACAGCCTTTCTGAAGCAGTTCCTACTGATAAAGCAATATCTGCAGGGAAACAATGCAGATACCTCCGGGCAAAAACATCAGGGTGGTGATTCCTCCAAAATTCCTCTAATTCTCCCTTTTCCTTCAGCTGTTTCTTGATAGATTTGAATCGAATCAAAGGGATTCTATGCAAATAAAATAAACACACAAAAAAACCTGATTGTCCTTTCTAGAACTGTCATATACTCCATCTATTAAAAAAAAAGGTTTCTTTTTTGAGACCTCAAGTAGCAACAAGCACATGTAACCCATGAAGCCAGCTGAGATGTGTGCCAGTGAAGGCAAAAGAGTTTTCTTACCGTTCCACAGCCACGATGAGCGGGATGTAAACCACTGCCAACAGTATTGTCCTCATGGCTCCAAGAGGTTCAGAGTCTAATGACTCCTTTGCTCACAAATCCCTTTTTTATGGCCTGCTGTCAGCTGAGGGCTGCTCGCCAGGTCAATCAATCGCAGGAGGTCAGTGCTTTGGCAGAAAACTGATTCATTTACCCTCAGACTGGTTTGTGCAAATAGTGATGTCCAGTGGAGCTACTCAGATAACCAGGGCACAGTCTAGACCAAACAGACATTTAATCAACAATCCTTGATGTCTTTTACATAAATATCATTCATGGGTTGAGCTTGGTTCCTGCTAGAATGAGAAAGAGGAAGCTGTCCAAGCACTTGCTGCTTTTCAAGCTTGCTTTAGTGAGATGTTGCTCAGAAGTGCTCAATGCAGAGAAAGAGGACAAAATATACTATACATCCATTTCCCTTTTGCAGGAGACATTTCAGCAAGGCCGAGAAGACATTTGGTGGGCTTGTGACAAGTCACCTCCTAACAGCTGAAGTTTAATTCCCTATCTGTGAGAGAGTTCCAGTCTAAACAAAAATGTGCCATGCCATAAAATGGATCTTCAAAGTAAAAAACACAACAGTACAATACAGCAACATACAGTAAACACCAGCAATAATTTTGCACACATTTCAGCAAGACATTTGGAAGAGCTCTCTTGGATTTATTTTTGGGCAAATTTCCTGGGGTTAGTGGCTCCCACCCCTGCAGGCGGGTTCAAGTCTAGCCTGCAGAGAAATAATGGTGTCAAAAAGGGGCTGATTTGGCAGAGCACAACCCCCAGCCTGTCAGCTGCCCAGGAGGAAGCAGAGCACTTGCAAGACTTTTTGAAACTTTCCTCTGCAGAAGAAAGAGCAGTAAGCAACCACATACTGCAGCCTAGCATATACTAAAGCTAACTTTGAATAATCAGCCATTTTTGTTCAAAAGGCTGTGGTAGGATGCTGGGAAAAGAGCAACCACTTTTTTTTCTTCACAACACACCATGTATTTAAAATAAACTGCTCAGTATGCAAAGGTGAACTGGAACTAAGGAATTCTCCCAAAAGAGAGCAGATGTGCAACAGCACAGCAAGGAGTGAATGTCAAAGGACACAGAGGAGGCAGGAGTTATCATCTTCTGCTCCAGCAGCAATGTCAAGAAAAAATAGCAGAAAAACCCAATCACACAGCATTTGTGAGCCAAGAAGGGGTCTAAATGTCCATCACAGACTTCAAATAAATACAAAGCAAACAAAAATTGCTCCTTTAAGTCAGTTCCCTTGCTATGTCAGACTGAGTATGGGGTATGAAAGCCTTAAAATCATTACGTTTAGAGCTCTATTTATTAGTTGCCCCAGATTTTGAAATACAGTTTGCTTTTTCCAGCGTACATCCAAAATTGTAAGGACTAAAAAAACACAGCAAAGGCTGAGCCTGGTGTCATTACACAGCAGCAGGCAGAGCTTTGGAACTGAAAAAGCACCAGCATCTCTATTATAATATCTTGCTTCAAAACATAACAGAATCTCAAAAATGCTTATTTTCTGTTGATTTCTATTTTATTCTAATTTTTTTTCAATTATATATCTCTGAGTAATATTCCCCACTTCTCCTGAACTCAGAGGTTTTACACAAGTTATCAGCAAATGATCACATTTTCCGCCCCACAGTCATGCCAGCCACTGAGCTGCAAGAGCTGGGTGCTGGAAATGGGAATGGTGAGCAAAGATTTGTGAAATCTAGAAAGAAAAGGCATTTCTCAAGGAGCCCCCACCTGTCACTTGATGCACAGCAGAGCAGATGTCATGCCCTTGGGTAGGGCAGTGCTGCTTTGACAAGAGCAAGACAATGTCTGTGCCGAGTGCCTTTATCACTTGAACTTTTCCTCAAATGCTACAAATGCTTCTGGGAAGTCGATCATGTTCCTGTTGGAGGGCACCACGGTGACTTTGAAGACATGAAGCTTTCAAAACACCGCCTGGGTCTACTGTGAGGACTGCCTTTGCCTTAGTGGCTGATTCTCAGAAAGAACACAATTGTTCATTTTACTGCAAGTGTAGTCCTTTATTAATCCATACAGAGGTTATTCTTTCCCAAATTCTCTGATCTCACTCTATGTTCCAAGCAGACATTAATTTAGCTAACAGAGGTACAAAATGCAGCAACAAAAGGTCATTGTGACCTTTTTTGATAAGCTGGAATAATGATTAAACTACAGTGCAGAGGATCCCTAAGAAATAGTTATGTGCAGCTTAAAAGTTCCATTAAGGAGAAATAATTCAAGTAGGAAAAAAAAATCCATATCCATATCTGCAGACTTAGTACTTTGCTAAGTTATTTGTCTACATATGGATTATTGAGAAAAAATATGCCTAAACTATACCATTAATATATTCTTAGCTATGCTCTTGTGTTATTATGATTAGTAGGTTATCTGAAAAAATCTGTCTAAAAGACAAGGCTTTGCTGTGGATGTCTATTCATTATTAATTATGCCAAATGCATTTGGTTTTCCACAGCTTTATTCTATAGTGCCTTAAGGGGAGGGACACTCGCCTTCAAAAGGTGCCACGGCTGTTTAGAAATGAAAACAAATACAACAATCTGCTGACACATTCCCCACAGTGGTCCTCTGACAGGCCACAGAGCATCAAAGCAGTAAAGAAGTGTCTAAAAGGAGATTCTGATGCAGTGCAAACTGGCTTCTTGCTTCTGGGATGCCACAGACAGCACATCCCACCATCAGAGAGGGAACTTTCAGGCCCTCTATTCCACAGCACCACCACAGATGACTGTGCCATCATCTTTGTTCTCCAGGCTTGATGCCCTGCCCAGCTTCTCCATCTAAAACTGATTTTATGGCACTCAGGTCCCAGCACTGACTGCTCTCTGTCCTGTTGCAGTACTGTTCCCCAGGTGCCCTATTGTTCTCCTCCATACATTTCATAGCATCACTGCTGCATAGCACAGCCACTCATCTTGTGGGGAAAAGGCTCATAAACATCCTATAGCCTATACCCAATTGATAGCTAAGAGCTGCTTTACATTTGAAAGCAAGTGATAGTAGAAAGCTCTACATAACTAGATTTGACCAGAAATCCAGAGGCCACCTTAAGTGGTTCTTCAATTTTCTGTTGGCTCTGCTTTTCGTTTTTCAAGAGTGTGTGGCTCTCAGCAGTCACAGATTCTGGCAGTATAGCACCTAATACCCCAAAACCAATTGCAGATTGTTCAAAGAAAGTATACTCCCTAAATAATGGTAAGTGTGGGAAATTACAGCAGTGAGCTGTAGATATCAAAGCAAAGAGCCAAGTGGTGAAAAGGCTATTTTACCTTAAAACACTCTGCCAGCTTTCACAACCAAAGTTCACGGCAGAGCTATGGCCAACACACGGGCAGAACAACCACAGAATAGGTTGGGTTGGAAGGAATATTAAGGATCATATAGTTCTAACCTCCCTGACGTGGGTAGAGACAAATGAGTACCCTGGGAAAATAGCAGAAGCTCAGCATTTCAAACTATGCAGAGGTTCCTATACATGGGTATGCTCCCAGAAATTAGTACTGAACAGCAAAATGGATGATGATGCGACTAGAGCAGTTTACACTGTCACATCTAAATAGCCATAACTTTTCAAAATCAGACTTACTTCATTCATAACAAGTGAGAATCTTGATGGAATCCATGGGAGTTTCTTGACAGGTTTTGGTACAGACACAGGAACTGCAGTAGCACAGTTGGAAAGCAGAGGGAGAACAACCTTGGCAATTTGTGATAGCATATTACACTGAGATTCAGACAAGGAGTAAAACAATGTAATGAAAAAGGCCCTACAGACAAGAAGTAAAATGTAATGAAAAAGGCCCTACACAATCAAGAGTGCCAGAGGCTATAATAAATACCATTAAATTAGGAACATAAACAGTAGAACTGCTCAAGATAGCAGTTTGCCAAGTATTTGTGTTAAAGCTTTAAGGTAAGTACTGGGGTGGCAAATTACACTCTGAAATCCATGTACTTGGTGCCTTTCAAAATACATGCCTGAAAATGCCACCCATCTTGAAAGTCAGTCAAGTCTTAACAGGTATTTTAAACAACAATTTGATTATATGCAATATCTCTGCTGAAAGTTTCATGAAAGTTAAATATCTAAGCTTAAAACTTCAATCTGCTGTGGTGTTTGCTTTCTCAAGCCCATCCTTGCTGCCTGCATTGGCTACACAGACAGCACAGCTGCAGCAAGAAGTGAGGGACCAGGTGTGACCCTAATTTTGTCTGGGGCAAAATCAGAGAACATTTACAGTGTGCGAGAGGAGGAAAGAAGGAATGCTTTCAGGGGGAGGGCGAGCATGTGGGAGTGTGGGTGAGAGAGGGAGACCTGGGCCCTGAGTCGTCCTGCCTATAATCCCCGTCACCAAACACTCATTCAGTTATCAGAAGCATTTCAGAGCCCTCGAGATTAATGGCTGGTGCCATGTAAACAGAGCCTTATATTGGGAAGAACGAGTTACCAACAAGCCAGTGTGCAGAGGGAGACCGAGGCAGCCTCCTGTCCCTCGCAGTCCCAGCCATCCCGAGATGGGCAACAGTTTGAAAGCCATACTTGCTTTTGTGCCCTCTAACAAGTGCCAGAAGTACCTCCTAGAAGACCTAGAAGAGATGCCAGTGGATAAAATGGTCGATCTGAGTGGCAGGCAGATGAGACGGCTGCCTGTGCACATCTGCTCTTTTAGGGAATTGGTTAAGCTGTACCTGAGTGACAACAACCTGAACCATCTGCCCCCCGAGCTGGAGCAGCTGCAGAACCTGCAGATCTTGGCACTGGACTTCAACAACTTCAAAGCACTGCCCCTAGTTGTGTGCACGCTGAAGCAGCTGTGCATCCTCTACCTGGGCAACAACAAGCTGTGCAGCCTGCCCCTGGAGCTCCGACTCCTGCAGAACCTGAAGACGCTGTGGATCGAGTCCAACTGCCTGCAGTACCTGCCCGAGGTGGTGTGCGAGCTCAGCCTGCTCAAGACGCTGCACGCGGGCTCCAACGCCCTGCGTGGGCTCCCCCGGCAGCTGCAGGGCCTGCAGGAGCTGCGCACCATCTGGCTCTCGGGGAACCTGCTGTCCGAGTTCCCGCCCGTGCTCCTGGACATGCCCTTCCTCGAGGTCATCGACGTGGATCGCAATTCCATCCGCTTCTTCCCCAGCCTCGCTCACCTGCCCGGCCTGAAGCTGGTGATCTACGACCACAACCCCTGCAGGAACGCGCCCAAGGTGGCCAAAGGGGTGCGCAGGGTGGGCAGATGGTCAGAGGAGAGCCCGGAGCCCCGCAAGCGATCGGGGGCGGTGATAGATATCGCGCTGGACGAGAAGCCATTGCTACCTCCTGCCGCCAAGGCCGAGCCCGACGCCGAGCCCTGCTGACGCTCAGCTGCCCCTTCTGGCCAAGGTGGCAGCGCACTCCCGCCGCCGCCCAACCTCTACCTCTCCCTTGCTTGCTGGTGTCCAGGGAGCACCACACCGCACGGCAATCTCAGGAGTACGTGCACCAGCTTGGAGATAATGTGACAGCACAACTCTTGTACAGACACCTCTTTGTCTTTGTGCAGCACCCAGCACCCTCCCTAGAACAGACTCCTGTGTCCCACACTGGGACCACACAGAGTTCACAACAGAGATAAGACTCAGTTTAGATGTTTGCCATGGGCGGATTGCATGGAGCACATACGGACTTGCTGCTCCTCACCCATGGGCTCACTCTTCTCCCTGCCACCTTCTTGAGGTGTCCCAGCTCAGCTGAAACCCGCTGCTCAATGTGATCCCCACAGCTCTAAAGCAGCACTGGTCTCAAATTACTTTATCTGAAACACAGCAATACCTTGAAGGCTTCCCTGTCTGCTGAGTGGGAAGTGGTAGCAGAGTCCCGGCTGCACTATCAAGAAAACAGCACATACGTACAGGGGGCTCTCCTCTTTCTTCCTGCAAAATTTGTGACAACTGTTTCATCATTGCTGAGCAGTATTCAAATGATAGTGAGGAAAGCTGTAGGCTTTGGTGCTGGGTTTTGTTACTGACAGCACTGCCTCTAAGGACAGCTGTAAAGGAAAAGTTTTCATGCAGGAGCAAAGAAGAAAATCAAAGCCTGACTAAAAAGGAAAAGCCACAGGAGCTGCAAAGGTAAAGTTGCATGAATAAAATCCAGGCCTGTGAGCTGTCACTATAAGCTTGCACATAATCTGACGAGACAAACTTTACTCAGATGATTTCAGCTGGGTATTTCTCAAGCTTGCAACTTGGAGCAGTTCAGATCCCCTAAAAATGCACTTTTTTCCTAAGCTTTGCTTTAAGTGAGTAACAGAAATCTGGCTCAAAGTGACATTTTAAACTTTAGACTCCATAGCATGGTTGAATTAGGTGACAGGTTTTTTAACAAGGATGGAAAGCCCTTGGTGGCACACTCTTTGAGTCTGTCTCACCAGCACAGCCCGCAGAAGCAGCAGTTGACTTCCCAGAAAAGGTCTGATTCCATGCCAGTTCGTGACTGTTTAACGTCATCTACATGCTTGAAAAATTATCTGGAAATACACAGACTCTGCTAGCACTTGTTGTCTTGTAAAATGAAGTCCCAAATTTGCATCTGGCTGGCACCCACGTAGTGTGCTCCTGGTGAAATTAAATAAAAGTATACTAGCAGCTTGCCAAGTTAAAAAGTCCTTCTTTGGAATTAACAGCAAATTCTTTATCTAATCTTGTTCCAACAATTTCTTCCTACAAAAAGGAAAGCAGGACATGAGTTAGGGGTGCTATTCTAATATCCAAAGTCAATATTTTATACCCCACGGAACTGAGCTGGTACTGTATTTATCTGAGGGGATGGGGAAGAGCATGCTTTCACTGGCTTATCAATGGTCTGTGTTTCACAAAGCACTCACCACACAGCACTGTCACTTCTGGAGAGCTGAAGTCTCTGTCAAGAGTTAGGGGAGGATTCTGTAAGCATCTCATTTTAAGAAATCTAAGGCAGAAAAACCTTTGCACACATATTTGCTTACTTCAGCTTAATCTTTCTGCTTTGGCAGACTTGCCCTGCTGTTTGTACATTTGCAAGGGCCAGAAGGTCACAAGGCCTGTGGGCACCATTCTGGGCCCCCACACAGACAGGGCCCCTGCCTGTCTGTGCTCACACTCCTCACAGGTCTGCATGCAGACAGCTGCAGGCATCACAGGCTTCCTTCCAGCCTAGTCACAAAGAAACCTGCCCAGTCGAGAAACACGTTGCCTTTGCAGCAACTAATAGAATAGGAAAGTGAATATGAAGACAGGATTCAACAGACATGAAAGGGGTGGGGCAGAGGGCAGGATGTGAACATTATGGAGCCTGGCCTATTTTCTGCTAAGTGTCCACAATTTTAGGTGTTTGTCAAGTCAGCCCAATACTTTACAGATCAACACGCAGACTGTTTAGTCCAGAATGTTGCTCTCTCTCCCAAACTGCATGATCCTCTCAACTCTCCTGAGCAAAATGTAAAATTTGTGGTGTAAAAAGCTGTAAGATCACTTAGTCATAGTTCTGGGCATTGACTGAGGTTCCTTGTCCCCTCACTCTCTTCCATCATGAAAAAAAAGAGTAATGCTCTGTATCACTGGAAAAAGATACCATCTAACTGCAGAGCCTATTTCTAGGACCCCAGCTCAAAACCTATGCAGCCAGGACTGGAACACACCACTCATACTAACACAGCAGGTCAACACAAACCAGCAAGCCACAAGGGCTTAGTCACACCCGAAGCAGCCGAGGCCTGAGGCTGTGCACCACAGCTCTCCTCATGGATCTGCCCTTCCTGGTTCTACACAAAGAAATACAACTTTGGGGAATCTGAATTTTTCTTTTTTTATTACTGTGTATTTTAAGTGGAACCTGGAAGGAACAGAATGAATAGGGTTGTATAAAACCCCTGGTTTATACACCCCTGAAAGTGAATTCTTCCACACAACACACAAAAGCTCCAGTAAGTAAAAACCAACTGAAGACAGTGCCATTGATGGAGATCTGTTTGTCTCAAGCTTCTGTTCCATAACCTCACAAAAACTAGACCATTAAAAAAAATTACTAGGTGAGATCTGGTCCACACATCCTCAGGTACTGAAGAAAATTTAACAGGGGCGATGGTCTGGTACACGTTTTCTGGGGAGAAAAAGAAAAATCAGAAAATTCCCACCACACTGATGCCTATCAGCCCCTCCTCACCCACTCCCATTTTTAATCTTTAGTTACTGTTTCATGTTCAGGGACAGCTTTATCTCACAGCACAAAAAACAGTACCACCTCAAAGCTAACACACCACCCATGACCATGCTAAAAAAAAATCTTTTGATTCAAAAAGCAGTGAAAACTACCTGGTAGCAGGCCCACCTGCCTATGAGTGGCAATTCTTCTCAAACCTTTTAAGAAACATGTTTCTGTTTTAGCTGCAGATTCTACCTCGGGAGCAGCTGGACATTTCACTATAATTCTTGCCAAAAGCAAAAAGAAAGCATGATCCCTTACATTTTGGTCAGCCACTTGTGCAGATGTTTAGTGGTGACCCAGGATTAACTAGGCATTACTCAGGCACGGCAATTTAAGTTTGCTGATGGCTCTAAAGGCCTGATGATACTGCCAATGCAGTAAAATTATCTAATATGAACACCAGCATGTCACATGTCAGGTTCCCTTTCAAGTACAGCATTTTTAGACCAAGACTTTTCTGCACCCTTCCTCTTCCACAGAAGGAGGTTTACTTTACACCCCTGTGACTGACCATGCAGATACTCTGCCCATACCTTGGTGCTGCTTTAATGATGTCATCTACGCGAAGAATCATTTCTGCTGCTTCAGCGGCACTCAGCAACACTTGTCTCTTGACCTGGAAACTTTCTGTTACTCCCAAAACTGACATGTCCCCAATGACACCCTCTTTCATATCTGGAAGAAGAAACACATTAGGAGGCGTTTTTTTGGTTTTTTTAACTCAGCTTTTTTTTAAGGAAATTACAAGAAGCTGAGAGCACAGTAACTTACCTGCTCAAATGAACTACACTGATAGTTAGGGAAGTATTAAATAAAGTCTTCTACCTCAAGAGTCCTGATCAAAGTCTAATGTTGCAATTACATATGAGCACTTGATGATAATAACTTTATACACTGTGATGAGGAGACAAGATCCCAAGAGGACTCTCAGCACTATGTCCTTAGGTACATTAACTTCAGGGTTCTTCTCTACCACTCTGTGGTGGTTGTTCAGTTGGCTTTTTTGCGGGGGTGGGGGAAGGGGCAAAAGGAAGGATGTTTGGTTCTTCTGGGTTTTTAACTGGTTGCTGGTTTTAAAACAATGACTTTATTTTTAAGCTTCCTATAACTAGACTCAGTGTAAGGGAAGTGTTTTTTAGAGGTGAAAACCATGCATTTAAGAAATGAAGGTTTTCACTCTACTGTCAAAAGCCTGGTAGAACAAAAGGAATATCGTGCTGTACACAAAGTTCTATGCAAGGCAAACAAACCAACATACTCGGCTCTCCTTGCTGAATATATGTGACAGACATACATGAACAACTTTAATGAGCCCAAAGGACCTGGCCAAACAGCAATTCAAACACAGAAGTAAAACTCATCCCCTTACCCAGTCCATAAGTAGTCTTCCCTTCACTATGAGCAGCTCTGAGCTGAGCAACCAAATCAGCACTGTCATAGCCAGCATTATCAGCTATTATTGTTGGGATCTAAGGGGATAAACACAGGTTGTTTTTCATTAACATATGATTGTTAGCAAACATGAAACATACTTGGATGTTATCAGTTTACAACTGAATTTCAAGAAGATGCTTCAGAAACATGCCAGATGATCTGTTTACTGTGATAACTAAAAGACCCAAACTACCTCTCTAAGAATTTCAAGACTCTGTTGTAAGGAAGTACCTATGAGGACAGAAGCATGTTAGCAATTTGTACGCTCATTTTACATGGACAGAAGTAAAAAACCAATCTTGTCATTTTATCATTTCAGACTACAACTGGAGAAATGTTTTCATTTAAAAAGCACAAGTCTGCTGGTAAGCATTAGCCACCTGACCATTCTGTTCACTGTTTCCATGACAGCAGTGCAAACTCACATGCACTGACTGAAGAGATAATGCCAAGTGTTACTATGCACTTGAATTTATTTTTCTTGGGAGAAAGGTTTTCCCTAATTCAAATTGCAGAAAGTAATTTTTTTCTCAAACTGACAGTCTGTTTTCACAATTCTATTAATGTTTCTTGTGACACACTCATTTCCTACTAAGATGCAATCTCCAATGCAAGACCAGAAATTTGTAGCAAGTACTAGAGTATGAATACACTCAAACAGCACTAGAGCATCAATGGAACAAAAGGGCTGCTCTTTTCTAAATCAGCTGTCAGCTACCTAAGATGAGACTTTTATGTGCTATTTCTGCAGCACTTCTAACCAGCAGGTAAGGTGAGCAATAACCATTTAGAGGAGGGTTAGCATATGAACATGTACAAGCCTGTAACATGCAGAATTATTAAAACACCAGTACTTTTTTCCTAAGATAAAAAACCAATTTCTCCCTTTGTTTATCCAAGATGTGCTGCTAAAACTTTACTTCTTTACTTTGGACAACCAAAATTTTTTTAAAGTGAAGCAAATATCTGATGTCACAAGTTAGTAAACTTCATGAAACTTTGTGTCTTAGCCCAGCAATATGATTAAATAAACCTACCATTCGTAAAGCCTTAGCAAAGGACTCCATTGCAACAGACTCTTTGCCAGGTGTTCTGACAGCAAGTTCTGCAACAGCGTTAGCCATCAGCATCTCTGAACAACCTATTCAGTGAAGACACACAGATGTTACACATCCAACCTTCAGTAATACCAAAGTATGACAGGTACAAAGAGTCTGATATTCACCTCCACCATACACAGTTCTTGTGTCCTTCACAGTCTGGGCCAGGACACAGAGAGCATCATGCAGAGACCTCTCTGCTTCATCCAGAATCTGCTGGGTGGCTCCACGCAAAACTATGGTGCAAGCTTCACCTAGAAAGCACACATGTAAAAGGATTAAAAAGAGAAACCAGGACACAAAATGGGCTATCACAAAGCATTTACAATGGTTCTGCTATCACTGGAGTCAAGTTCTGTATTACTTAATTTTGGGAACAAAAGCAAACACGATGACATTTCAAAGACAGAATGAAATTATGTGCACAGTGCTATTGCTTTGGTTCCACAACACCTTATTTAATTTAAGAGAAAATTAATATTGTCTCAAAACTCCTTAGAAATTAGAGCATTGGCATTTACTAGAACAAGCTCTTTAAGTATGACACATTGCTACTTTTCTTGTCAACTGAATTTCCAAAAGCAGAAACCTGGGTTCCCATCCTTAAAAATGATTATATGTTCGTTTATGTAACACAAAACGTCCACAGTTTCAACCATGAAATTGTGCAGGACTTTTACTGAAAAGCAAGGCTTTAATAGAAACAGTTACATAAATCATTACAGAATTCCTATGCATTACTGGCAACTGAACAGCACTAGCAGAGGGTTAACATAAATGTTACAATACACCATTAGTGATAAAACACTTACCCATTGCTACTCCAGAGAAATGAATGAGTTTATCTTCTCCAATCATGACTTCTTCAATGAGCTTGCAGCTTCCTAGTTTTACTAGCTCAGGGTGATCAAAGGTTGAAGCAATTTCACCACCTGCAAGTGTAAGATCATAAAGAAATCAGAGCTCACAATGAAAGCATCCTTCCAGGCAAAGTCTCACCAAGGGCAGGGGGCGGGGGGGTTAGAAAAAAAGTCTTCATAATTGCCCCCAAATAAATTTAAACTAAAATTACTGATAAGCCAAGACTGTCTCATGTCAGCATGTGGTACCAGAAAATATCAACCAATGCTGATAAATCCTTAACACACCTGTTTTGTTTCACATCACATGGACTAAAATGCTTGTGAGCTGTGTCTGATAACAGAATAAACACTCATTTTTGCTAGCATTAAAATATCAGTATGTTTCAAGTTTTCACAGTATTTACTGATTATTTATAAAATACTAAATGAAGTCTCTTATGCTTTAAAACTTGAGCTTGTGACAGTATTCCTTTTGCCTGCCTGATGATGGCTGAGAACCACCATTCTCCTGCATGGCAAGTCTCATTCCATGCTGCAGCAGCAATACTGTGCAGGATCTGTAAACTGCTGTATCATAAACAAAACAAGCACTACAACGACCAAAATGTCTTTGAACACAACATCATTCTAGTTCTTGTTCCAGTTCTTTCCTCTTCCTATTAGAAAACTCTTTACATGCATGCATTCCCCATGTGTGCTCAATAAGCCCACAGTAGCTTGCAGCACTGTGTAGTTGCAGCATCACAAGAAAAACCAAGACTTGGAGCAGAGTTTGTGTATATTAAAAATCGTCCTTTTTTCAGCTATACTATTCAAGCCAGAGTGGTCTGATAAGGCCCATTTGCTCTGCATACAAGTCTGCTTTCAATTTGTTCCAGAATGTAAGCAGTGTTCTCAATCACACGTTTCCAGGGTCAATGTGCCTATTGACACTTATATGCAGTCACTACTTCAGTTTTGCTAAGATAAGCAAGTCAGTGTCTTTTCCTTTCTCCTGCAAAGCAAATTCATCCTCCTGATCACTTTCAAAATCACCTATGATGTCCCAGTTAACTATCTATTACTTCAGCAATGAGAATTATCTGTAGCATTCCAGAGGTCTCATTTCCATTAGTTACGAAAATCACATTTATGCTGACCACTACCCAAAATATCCAGGTTGTTGAGGTTATTTGAGATCCACCTCAATTCAAAAACCCAGGCCCACATTTTTAACAAAGGATGACTCCTTAGTCTTCTCTATCATTACAGTCAAACAACAGCCACTTAAACCAATTGTTATCACAGAATAAAGTACTGTTAGTATTAACTTGTGGAATTATTCTTTCTGTTGCTAAATTTCATCTTTTCTTTAGAAAACAAACATCAAAATCTTATCAAGCAGGAACTTAACTGAAAATATTTTTAAAATATGAAAGAAGGTTACCAACTGGCACTAACTTGCTAAATTGTTTCCCATGTTTTGCATTATGATCCTTTATTCACAGATGCTGAGGAAGTATGTTTAAGTAAGTTTAATGTTTACTAATGATCAGACAAATAATGTGCCCCTCCAAGTTTCATACAACCAAATACTCTGCACACCTGTGACAAGAGCCAGACGTTCTACACCTGCAAAGTCTGCATGTTCAATAGCCATGACACCAGCAGCTCCAAAGAGATGTTCAGGGTAGTTGTAGATCAGCTGCCTAAAATTACAACACATCCCACCATCACACACAGAACAAACCTTTGAAAATAACACAGTAACAAAAGACACCAGCTTCTCAGTAGCATGGACACAGGACAGATTTCTGAAAGCTACCAAAGCAGTCAATGGATGAGGCATCTGCCACACATGGAGTTTTACACAACACAGAAGCAAACGTAGGGACAGGAAAACATGCAAAGCTAAGGAAAAAAAAAATCAAACTATGTTTTTTGAAATATCCTTTCTCTGAAGAAACACTATCACACTAAGCACAGGCAGCCATATGCTTTAAGGTCTTAGTCCTTTGATCCTAAGTGCCTGCTGGGCACTTAACTGCCTATTCTAGCAGAATGAACTAGAACAACATGGAAAGTAATGTAACTCTCCCTTTTTCCTAAGGAATACATACCTGTTAATAAAGCAATTTATTCCATGTTTAAGAATACGATCCACTTTCTCCTTCATCTTTTCTTTTTCTGCCTGTTCTATTTCTGCCACTTTTGCTGTGGAGTCCACTCTAACACGAGAGCCAAAAATCTATATCAAAGAGAAAAGAGCTCAGTCTCAAAATTCCATTTACAAAAACACAGTTTCTCAACAGTAGTTCTGTCACATACCTTAATCTTGTCTGTATCCATACCAGTATTTGCAATAAGAATCTTTGCATTTTCAATTCTTTTTGGCTGATTTACACCAATCTTCTTGTCAAGCAGAAAGCCTGTAGTAACAGAAAGGCCTTGTAAAACTTCAAATTAAAAAAGGAGAGCAATTACTAGTTATTACAAAATCCCCCATCTTTAGTATTCAATTTAATAATAACATAACAGTGTTTCATACAACACATTTACATAGATATGCAACCTTTAGCAGCTTTGTTTCCCAAGTGCATACACAATCAACTCTCAAAGACTTACCTTCATCTAAGTAGGAATCAGCCAAACTTCCACCAAGTTTCTTAATGACATGGATAGCCTCCAAATTACCAGAACCTTTCAACCTAAGAACAGCTTCTACAGCTAGCTTGACAAAGTGATCCTTGTGGTGAGTAAGTAATTTTGAAGAAAGAGTTGTTCCCGCGATGTTCATCAAATCTTCACGGAACTTCACTTCATCATTACTAAAATAAAGACAGCTCAGTTAAAGTGGAGAGTCTGAAAGCCTTAACTACCACCAGCTCCCACCATGAGTCTTTGCCCACTTCTTCAAGCCTGTATCTCTATATGTACCATATTTTCTTTTGAGGAATGCTGCACAGAATCCCTCCACTGTCCCAGAACACAATCTTCCACTTGAAATACAAATTTTGTTAGGAGAATTTTTGCATTCAGCTTTAGAAAGTTTGTGCTCTCAAAGTGCTGGGCATGGGAAATAGTTATATTTAAAATGTGAGTACAAAATCTGAAGTAACAGCTCAGATCTTTGTTCCAGGGAGCAAATTACAGCTTATATTTCATTTCTGCACAAAATTACATAAGTAATTTTGAAGCTTCTTTAACTCATCAGAAAAAATACCCAATATTTTTTTCTCAACTGTTAAAATTCAGGAACTCAGCCTTCACACTGCTTTAAAAAGAGTGAAGAATTTACCAATGGACTGTAATTTGCACTGATGTTTTGATCTTGAGTAGTTTTTTATATAAAGTTACAGCAAATGGGCATTACTAACCCATGATCCACAGCTGCTTTCAAAAGCGCCTCTCTTGAAGCCTTTGTGGCTGCTCTCCAGCCTGCAATGATGGTCTGAGGATGAATCTTCCTTGCAATCAGTAATTCTGCCTCCTATTTAAATGAAATCAATAATTATTTCCCCCCCTAAAAAGTATAGTGACACTAACTAGAAAAGACATGTTCATTTATGGATGCAATTTAAAATGTAATTGAAAAAAGCTATCTTTATTTTTCTGTGGAACTTGGCAAGCTGATAGATCATTCCTTAAGATGCTCTTGATCCCAGTTACTGGCCCTGAGATGATCAGACTTTCTGACACAGCTCTGCAAGGAAGAATTATTCATTTCTCAAATCTCTTTCACAGTAATTTCAGGTTTAGAATTTGGCAGTGTAAATTCTTCCACAAGCATAAAATCCATACAGAGTTTAAATGAACAGTATGAATTCAGGCCTTGAGCAAAGAACAGAATTTAGCAGATTTTTTTCCTATGGAAATGGATTTCAGAGGACTGAGATTCAGAACTAAGCAGTGCTTTAGACTGCTCAGTGCAATAACCAGAAAGTGAGCAGTAAGAGTCAACTTAAAATACTTGAGAGTTTATAAAAAATAATATAAGGAGTAGTAGTCCAAAATACCGCTAAAAAAAATGATGTAGGAGGCTGGTTTTTTTGCCCCCTATCAATTTCACCAGCAACAGAGCAAGCTACTCCTTTCTATGCTATGGGAGCCCTTTACAAAGACAGGATAACACCCCTCCTACTGGAGGCACCACAGAAGTACAGTGACAAACATCTGAAAAAACAGAACACATCACCCTCAGTAATTCAGCTGCCAACACTGTGACAGATGTAGTTCCATCGCCCACTTCGTCATCTTGAACCTTTGACATATCTGAAGAAGGAAAAGACATTATTAATGCTATTTTTCTCATCCATTAATTTGGACAAAGAAACAGATCTTACTCTTTGTGTAAAGAGGGAACTCTAAAAAAACCCCAGAAAAACAAGAGATGCAAACAAAACTTGGCATCCTCCAAACTCCTGCTCTTTATTTGTAACCAGTTTCAGCCTGGTGATGGTCAGGATGCTGCCCTGTGTTCCCCATCCTAACACTGGTTATCAAAAGGACAGCTGGATAGAAGCTCTAAGGTACAGATACAGGATCAGAGACCATCATAACCAGGTCTGCTGCATGAACTGCTGATAAACTGGGCCACAGCAAACACAGAATCATTAGGAAACCTGACACCAAATAGATCAGGCTCCTGCTTGTCACCAGCAGTGGACCAGTGGCACAGTAGGACAGTCACTCACAACAGTAAACTCTGTACAGAAGTACAGTGCCCACTGAGTGCCAGAGATTTAAATCTGGGAGAAACACAGTGAACCTCTGCTGCTGCACAGAATTCTGTTCCAAATTTTCCCACTGCAAAACGAGGGGTATACAGCTGTCTTTTGTCCCTTCTGACTCCTGGGACAAAGCAGGGTTAAGGGAAAAGAAGATAAAAAAACAGTTTTGAAGAGCAGCACACACCGTAATTTTACTTTTGCAGAATGCCACACCTCTTGCAGTACCCTGCCCTTCTTACTTCAGGATTTCTGCTCCCCCTCCCTTCAATTTTTCACAGTATTTCAACAACACTTTTCTAAGAACAAATAAAAACACCACAACAGAGTTACAAATTAAGAAATATTGAGCCTTTAAGAACTCACCAACCAAGACCTTGGCAGCAGGATTATCAACTCCAATGGCTTTCAGGATGGTTGCACCATCGTTGGTAACTGTGACAGAGCTGTCTCTCCCGGTACTTAAAAGAATCTTGTCCTACAAGATGTGAGATTTAGCATACTGCTTGAAAAGGCACTGTGACTATTAAAGCTAAATTAATGGGCATGACTACCCATGCAGGTGTCTTACCATGCCTTTAGGGCCCAGGGTGCTCTTGACTAGGTCACCAATGGCAATGGCACCAACAAAGGATGACTGAAATGAAAATAAATATACCGCAGGGAACAATTTATTTCTACTCTAGTACAAGAATTACACACTATCACATAGCTTTCAATATTTTAACCAACCCTTCCACCTCTTTCATGGAGGCTTAACTGAACTTAAGGCAAGTTTCTTAACTGCTAAATTTTGATAACCAGCTCAAATATACCTAAACCTCCCAGAAACCATAAATCTGTCTCAAAGCCAGAAGAAATGCCACCAATCTTCTGAGCTCCAGTAAAGTACTTTGATTTTGACAATGAAGAGTTTCTCTAATTTTTAATATTAACAAAACTCCCTTCTGATCACAGACATGCAACAAGAAAAGTCAGTTACAGACAGAAGTTCCATATCACAATATAGTGAAAGTATTTTTAGTAATAGAAAAGACAAAGTTTAATTACCTCAAGTATTACCAGGTTCTTAGAGAATTAAACTTACCAACCGAGCTGTTTCTGCCTTCTCTTCATCTGCACCTGCCTTGAAAATGTTCACAGGAGCAAGGGAAATGGATGCCTAAAACACAGTTAATGTAAGAATATTGTTTTAGCTTCAATAAAACTATGTGTTCTAAAAGCAAATCCCCAACCCTAACAGCTTAAACAATGTTTTTTTATATAAAATTACTTCCATACCCCATTTTGTTGTGATAACAGATATATTTAAGAAATAGCCATGTCGCAGCGCAGTGCAGGACTCCAAGGCCGAGCGCAGCCGCGGGCACGCTGCAGCGCACACCAGGCCGGACCAGCCCATCCCTTCATGGCCGTGCGAGCGCTGCTGCTCTGCCCGCCCGCCAGCCGGCCCTTCCCCACAGCAGCCACAGCCAGCAGAGCCAGAACAAGTCTATTTACTGCCCAATGCCTTCAGCGTTTTGATACCTGAGCCGAACCCGCCCTTTTTTTTTTTCTTTTTTTTTCATATCAATGCAAATTAATCATAGCGGTAACCACTACACGCCTTTAAGGACCAATATCTGCAGAGCCCGCAAGGCCTTAAATGAAGAAGGATCAAATACCCGCACACAGCTACCACAGCTCTCAGAGTCGCCCCGCCCCGGCTCCAGAACCTTCGGGGCCGCCCCAGCCCCCGGCACAGCGCGGGGAAACGCAGGGCGCGGCCTCCAGGCCTCGCCATCCATCCCGCCCGCCCGCCCGCCCGCCCGCGTGGAGCGCAGCCCCGCCGGCCCCGCCGCACCCCGGCCCGGCCCGGCCGCCGCCGCCCGCCGCTCACCATGGTGCCGGTGCCGCCGGGAGCCGCCCGCCCTCCTTCAGCACAGAGCCACCGCCGCGCCGCAGCCCCACGAGCTCCCCCGGAATGGCGTCACTGCGGCCGCCACTTCCGGCGCGCGCGGCCTGCTGGGAGCCGCAGTCCGGCCCCGCGCCCGCCGCCCTCAGCGGCTGCGCCTCCGCCCCTCGGGCCGGACTGGGCTCTGCGCCCCAGAGCCCTGAGGGAGGGAAATTCCGTACGCTGGAACGGGCTGCCCGCAGAAAGCGTGCGTGCCCCATCCCTGGCAGTGCCCAGGGCCAGGCTGGATGGGACCCTGAGCATCCTGGCCGAGGGGAAGGTGTCCCCGCCCATGGCAGGGGGTTTGGAGCTAGGGGATTGTTCAGGTCCCTTCCAACCCAAAGCCATTCTATGATGCTGCGGTTCTGTGATACTCCTGGAGGTCAGTTCTCAGGTCAAAAGCATTTTTAGTCACTGCTTGTGGCCTCTAGCGCGCTTGCCAGCCCATCCCCGATGGCGGCTGTTAGGCCTCGGCTCCAGTGACAAGTCATGAACAGGAGATGCCCAGCACAATCCCACTCCATACGCTGCAATTCATACGGAAAAATTGGTGACTGTTCCCCTGGCAGCTTTGCCAGTGTGAGACTACACTTAAACTTTGCTTTGTCGCTGCTTTTCCTCTACACAAAGCCTGTTACCTGGTCATACAAAGAAAAAAACCCAAACCCAACCTGTATTATTTTGTATGACTCATCCTCAAGAATTGATTCCAGCTCATATCTCTCTTCTTGCTGCTAGGTACTAAACTCTTGGGATACATGGAACGTTGTTTGTTGTAGATTCAAACTGGCCAGAGACAGAAATCCATCCCAATGGAGACAGCAAAAAAAGAACATGACTAAAACTCTGCCAACTCTCACCTGTATTGCTAATTTTGTCAATACCTGGTTAGTATTAGTTCTTGAGTATGTTAGGCCTTTCATCCTGTTTTCTTCACAGAGTTAGATACACTTCCCTCCACAACCCTGTTCTAAAACTAGACTACTAATTTAATTTAAATACCTAATTTTCATCATAGTTACACCAAAAACTATTTCAGTGTTGGCAAGGGCAAATAATACAACTAAAACAATGGAAGCAGCTTCTCTCAGAATCACAGCTTTCATAAAGATGTGCACTGACGTAATAATTCATTTTAATTCACGTTTGCTGCTACTGTGGTGAGTTGGGAAAAAAAATATTATAAAATGCTTCAGACTTATCCAAGTTATGGCCTTTGAAAGATCCAATGCTCACAGAAAAACTACAGCAAATTAGTGAATTGGGTTTAAGGGGCTTTTGACCATTGCTAAGTCATGCTTTACAAAGTGTAAAGGCAGTGACACCAGACTAGGAAGAACACAGCAGCAGTGCTGGTTCTCCTCTCCCAGCTGTGCCATGCCCTCACCCCTCTTGGGCCAAGGGCAATTTTCCAAGCTGCACCGTATGTGAAGAAAAAAAGGCCTCGTTTAAAAAAAAAAAAAAATCACAATCTGCACGCATGACAAAGGTGTGACAGAAAACCAGCAGAAATGAAACAAAGTCTTGGAGATGAATTTACAGACTTCAGAGCACTGTGATCTGTTTTGGGGTTTTTTTTACTACTGAGCAATGAGTGGAATAGGGAGGCAGGGAGGAGAGCAGAAAGAGGTACATGAAGCAACGATTTAAAGAAAAGCAAAAAAGATTATACAAACAAAACAACACAGTGACACTAACACTGCAAACTACTGAAGTAACCCACAGACAACTTTTAATGTAAAATCAATAGTTTATTGCCATGCTACAATTTTTTTTTTCCAAATGAAGTTGGCACTGGTAAGGGGAAAAATGTACATAACACATTTTTTAAAAATGCACATTTGGTAAGCTTTCTCTATAACAACAGTTTAAAAGAAGTGAAATTATTATTTTTTTAAGATTAATGTGGAATGGCATAAAAATACACTCTTTCTGCATAGTATAAGAAATACGGAATGTTTGTAAAAACAAATTCACTGAACAGGGAAAATTACTTGAAATTTTATAAACAATTTGGCAATGGTACTCCCACTGTTTAGACTTTTTTATATAAAAGAAATAAAAATCTAGAAAGCTACCTTTATACAAAGTTGCTATATTTATGCCTTTAAGTAGGAAAAAACATTTTATAATGCAAATTAGGACATACAATAATCTTACAATATGATACAATGTAATGACAAGAAAGGAACATACAACATAAGATTTTGGCCTTTGTAGAAATGTCTATTTCTGCATTTAATAAATGCATTTGTGGCACACTGGTGACTACTGTATCACTCCTACCAGTCAGCTTGGACGCTAGTGCGGTGCGTTTGGCCGGGACACAGACGCTTGCCAGGAGACCAAAGGTGATGCTGCAGTGAAGCCAGATGTGAGAAAGGCAACGTGCCTGCTGGTCCAGCCATCTGGACTGTGGGACACCATACAACACTCTTTCCTCTCATACCAGAGCATTTCTTATACATTCAGGTATTACGTACCAAAGTCTTACAAGTGAGAACATCCGTGTTTGTGATTTGGCAAAATTTCAAAATACAAAGTTAGTACCAAATATATAATATATTATATATAAAATGTGGGTGTATGATATACACACATATTCCAATGCAAAAAAAACCTGCATTATTATGGAGTTAAATTCGCTGACATCCATTCCTAAATAACATTACCATTAAAAAACAGGTGTAATCATCATCTTTCACATGTTTTAGAATCACTTCCTCTTTCATACACAACAGTTAAAGCAATATATATGCAACTATGACTAAGAAATCAAAATTCCCATAATTATCTGAACTCTGACCACAACAAATAGGATTTGGTTTTCAGTACATGTAATTAAATATATTTATACTTTTACATCCTTTTAGACCATTCCTGAAGAACTTGACCAAGCAGGTCCTCAGGTGTAACAGAGCTGTTACACCAGCAGTACTTGATCTTGCAGGAGCATATCCAGTGGCCCTTGAAGTCAACAGGAATCATTTCTTTGTCTTCAAAGGACACTGCATGCAGACCGAACAAGCTCTGGAAGGGTCACCCCACTAACAAGGAAGATTTCCTGATGACATCAAAGCTCCTTGTCAGACTTCCTTTCCAGGTGCCAAGGGGCAGGAGCGGAGCAAAGGATGCTCTGGGCTCCCTGGGTCACTTGGCAGGCAGTGCTGGGGACAGCCATGCACAGCCCCAGCACCAGGGACTGGCAGGGGCACCTTTCACACTAAGGCTTCTCAGGGAAAGCAGGGAGCTGCTTCCCACACTCCTCACTTGGCAATTCGGTCACTACAGGTCTCAGACAGGAGCTCTGGCTGGGACCCCAAGGCATTTAGTACTTTGTAGACACAGAGGAAGATGGTCCCTGTTCTGAAGGGCTTGAGCATATTTTTTTTTGATAATTTTTACATAATCTCCTTTCTATATACACATATTTGCTACATAAAATAGAATTACGCCAAAGTAATGGATATAGCGGAAAACATTGTCACAATATATGTGTATTACCACACTAAATAATTACTAAAACTGCAAGAAAAATTTCAAAAATGCCCTTCATAACGTATAAAAATATAGAAATGTCCAACACTTGTTTCATCGACCTTATTTCTCATATTCTATTTCTACCTGTACACCTACATACTTCCAAACAAAATACTGCGTTAATCTGGAGTAAACACCGTGTTAGGAAAATATCCTCATAAGACATCTGACAGACTTACTCACATACCTTACAGCGCAGCACAAGAAATAATGTATACATGGTCAGAGTTGCAGATGCTAAGTTGCTCTTTTTTTTTCTTCTGATTCACTCATCTTGTCCAAAAGAGGAAGTAATTCCTAAAGATTGTGAAAGAACCTCAACATGACTTCCTTTTTCATAATCTTCTGTAAGAAGGACATCAGCAAACCTGACTCCAACTTAACGCAGTTTTTTGTGGTGGAATTTCTTCTGGATTTTTTTTTTCCTGGAGTGTATATGAATTAAAAATAAAGATATAATAAATGAACTTAAGTTTATATTAAGTAAATACTGTCAAATATAAATGCCTGAATTGCTACCTCAAGGAAGAGATGGGAAAGATCATATCATTAAATTCCAAAAACACCTAACTCTATCTATCACAATGAAGGACCAGACTCCTCTAGGGAAATAGGAGAATTTCAGATTTAAGTCCACTACTAGTTTCTACTCCATTAGTTTCATCTTCTTTGCAGCCATTAAATAAATTAGTACAGTGCAGAAATGGAATTTCACCATGGATCTCACCTTGCATGAAGCAAGGAATACTGCTTAAAAACAGACGTCCAAATCAGATACATCATTGTATGCTCAAACTACTAACATGAAGCAGAATTTCCACTCTTACTTCACCCACAGTGAATAAGAACAATCTGTTCTCTCTTGAATCCCTCTCATTGAGAAGCGGGTAAATATAAAACAAAAACAAGAACAACCAGATTTTGAGCCAATGCACAGTGTTATAAAACCAGCAAAATCAACTGCTGATCTGTCACTTATAAAAAGCAGCCCTGTTTTGACATTGGTTTGGAATTTGTACACTTTACACATTTCCATGATCCTTTTTACACCCAAGCCCTAGTCAGAGGTGCAAACACACACAAATATCCAGACATCAAGTGGGGGGGAGCGGTGGGGGGAAGGACATTTTATCAATTTATTATATGAAACTTCTACTTCAACACTTACATTTTCTATAAAAGCTCTGAAGACATTAATAGGAATAGTGCTTCAATGCACATCATCAGATTCAACCCCTGTTAAATTCAGAACATACTTATTGGGGGAAACAAAAGATGTTCTAATGAGTGTCATGGTTTTCAAAATGGCCTTTTTCAATATTGTTTTAGGAAGTTAGCAAAAAACACCACAAAAATTAAAACAATTGGTCCTCCTTCTGGCATGATTTTGAGGGAAAGTTTATTTTCCTGACATAACAATGGAATAAATTCTCATTCCCTGTATTTCTAGCACAGTATTATGTACTTTTGGTCACTTTTCTGTTTTCTTTAACAACTCAGCTTCCTTGT